CAGCCTCTGGCACATTCGACTTTTCGTGCGGCTGAAGTATTATTTAAAGCGGTATTACGACACCGTTGGTGTCTATATAGACAACTCAAATGGGGGTCTTTGTACTGGCGAATCGAATAATACAACGCATAAAACTAAACTATAAATTCTTTCGGTAATTTTGGATGGCGCTCCATGAATTCCCCTATGTATTTTTTACTGCGAATTTCATGGTTTTCCACTATAAGAACGCCTGCACGTTTACTTTCCCACAAAGCGCGTGGTAGGCCTATCACCTCGATCAACGGAACACGAATGAAAAAGCACAAAACAGGTGTGGAAACGATACGCCGTCAGTGCAAGAGCAGTTAGCGAGCGAGACTGCCGTGCTCGTCGTCCCCAACCATATTTCTTGTTGTGAACCCGAACTCTCTTTCACCTCGTCTTTTGCTGGTCGTAATCCGTAAATCGAACTCGTCCATTTTATTGCTGAAGTGTACCAAGCGTCAGGTAAAAAAAAAAAAAAAAAAAAAAAAAAAAAAAGATAAATTTTTGGGAGTTTACGTGCCAATTTAACAAAGGGCGTATGTCACATCCCAGCGGAGGACTGAGGATTACATTCGACCAACTGCAACCAAAATCTCACAGCGCCTTCTCCGTAATGAACACCCGCTGTATAGCAGGAACTATACGACTTCTCGAATACATTTCGAGGGCTATAGGATTGGTACTGCCTAAGCACCAATTTCATGACGAATTGAAACTGCCAATCTGGCTACAATATTTAATTCTAAGCTGTTAAGATACCATATAAGCAAAGGACGCGAGCGCCTGATAAAACAAAATCAGCTCGCACGTGTAGCCTTGAAAAGTTACTTAAATATAAAAACATATCATGACATTAAAAACGTGTTAACATTTGAGCCGAGAGAATAACTGTTGTGAGTGAATGGATCAATATGCTATTTATTTTTACACTTTTACGTCAGCGTGTGACTCACTGACAAGAACTCGGAAAAATAGATAGCTGGGAAGTTTAATTAGTGGCTGTTAACAGCCTTGACACCTGCACAACAGTACACTCTGTCTTACGTAAAACCAAAAATATAACACTGTCGTTGTCGAAGGCACAGCCAGGGAACATGTCACAAAGCATCCGAGGGGATAAGACGGTCAAGTAAATGGGTCTTTCTGCAAAAATATTAAATTGCATGCTCGTTGCTACCGTTTCATTGGACCCCCCCCCCCCCCACACACACACACACACACACACACTTCGAACAAATATATACAAAAAGAGGGTGCACAATTGCAGGCTTTGCCGTATGCGACTCGAAACCGCACCGAGGCGAACATCTTATGGCAATCAAGCGCACCGTGCACAACATGGCGGAAAAATGTAATGCAACGAGCATGCCTCTTATCATGAAGAGATACGATCGGCGTATATCTCTTAGGACAAAGTAATTACTAGAAAAACGGCAACGAACGATGTGTCTATCATATTCATAAACAATGCGAAGAAACTTCCGCTAGATATGATGAACAGAACAGCGCACACAAGGACAAAGAAAAGGAACATGCAGGACACACAAGCGCTTGTGTGTCCTGCATGTTCCTTTTCTCTGTCCTTTTTTTTGTGTGCGCTGTTCTGCTCATCAAGTCATCATACCAATTCGCCCAACTTACAACACTTCCGCTAGACATTTTCAATTAAATTATGGTAAGAAAGGAATGATGCAGAAAGTGTGAATCGCACCATCGTCACCAGGTGAAATATTCGTCTACTGTTATTTATTTACAAGCCCCGCAGACTGGTATTTATTGTCGTTACAAAAGAAAATCCATATGTGGAAAACAAAACAGGTGACTGAGGAAACACGTCTGCAACTGTTGCTCTTCAAATTTTCGTGTTTTCCCTTATTTATTTATTTTTTTTTGCCATTTCTGATCGTGGTTTTTGACTGGCTTCATCAGTCTTCGTCTCATCGGTGCTCATTACTCAACTCCCTCAAGCAAGACTTGGGAAGTAACCAGTTACAAGTAACGGATCAGTTGTAATCCGTCACTTGTTTAAGTAATTTTGTAATTGCTACGTTATGTTTTGTGACAGAAATTTTTAATGTGATTTCGTTACAAATATTGGTAACAAATTACTTTAATGACTCGTTACATTTTTTTGAATATGAACATAATGCAGAAACGTGACCAGTATAAGCAGCCAATTTAGCAGCTTAAAGATAGCAAGTCAACGAGATAGAAAACAGCTCGAAGGGGAGAATAACTGAAAATAAAAACACGATATTTCGTATATGACCGGTCACTAGAACCACTAGAAAAAGGAGCAAGGCATATGCGAATATGCGAATAACAAAGATTAAGAAGACAACGCCGACTCGGCTCTGCCACTTTCACTCGCCTTCCATCGTGTTTTCCTTCTCCTACGTATGAGAAACGGAAAGTACCGTTGCGGTACATTTTTGAAAACATCAAAATTGTTTTTATTGTTTTCTTGACAAGGGGGAAAAGTAACCTGAAAGTAGCTTGTAACGTAACGAATAAAGTAATCCGTTACTTTTCAGCGAAAGTAATTTGTAACGGTAAACCATTACATTTGAGGCTTGGTAATTTGTAATTGTAATCCATTACATTTTTCGAGTGATTGGCACGTGCCTGCAATCGAACCAGGCAGCGGTGTTAAAACACAAAACACCCACATCTCGCGGGGCCCGTGATATGGCAGCGGCCCACATAAAAGACCGTCTTCACCCGCTCGCGTCGCGGAAGGTCAATCCTGGCCGGTCGCGTCGAGTTACCAATCATCTGTCCTCCGACGCGCAGCTTTACGCGAGTATGATGTTGGAGGCCTTTCTGAGCAGAAAGAAGTCCCGAGGCGGCCGCGGGCGGAATTCCTGTGCACGGCCCGGTGGGCCCGCTCGACCTCGGGCCCGTTACTTCGGTCCACGGCGTCAACGGGCATCCGACCACGAGCCCACGGTCACGGGGTCTCTGGGTCACTGACGGAGCGCCGGTGGCAATGTCGTTACTGCGGCGATATGGTACGGTGGGCGCCCTAATGAACGATGCCGTCGGTGGCCACGTGGGAGAAACTACGGGCGATGAGAGGGGCGACGGAAGCCTACGCGGCTATGCACTGCAAAGATGACTACTATAGAGTCACCGAGAGCTTTGAAAGCGCAGGGTGTGGCTTTTGGTGTTCCCACCTCCGGATTCGTGATTGGTGCTTCAACATTCATATCGGCTAATGCTGCGAGCTCATTGGCTGCGGAGAGTTCATAGTTATTAGGAAGCTCCGGTCTCGCCAGCTGTCCGTGATCGCGGTGCGTTTCCGTTGGTTACTGGATTTATCGACTTCGGACGTTGTCCGGTTCACCGGCGTATCCCAAGTAAACTTTTTTTTAAAAAAAGTCCCACTGATCTAAGAAAAAAAAAACAAGGATTGGTTAAAGTTTAATCAAGTTAATTTTGAACAGTTCTCAACGCTACTGGACTTAAGTGCATTTACACCTAAAAGACGATGCGCCATTCTTCGTCTCACTTTAAGTTCTACCGCAGCCGGCGAACCAAAAAAATCAATCAAATAGCTAAAAAAAAAAAACACATGTCACGGCGTTTGATTTTTAATGTTTTATTTTCTAATTAACGGCTAAGTAAATGACGCACAGTGGATGCGCCATGATCGTGCGCTGTACGGTAAGCGAGACTTGTTTAGTCGGTGATAGAAGACGTAGGAAGACGACGAGCACCATGGCGATAGGCACTTTTGGCGCAGCTCGGTTGGCTCGGCATCCTCTGTGGTTGGACGTGGTTTGAAACGGAGAAACGAAACGGTGCAATGTAAAGCCGGCCCTAAATTACCACTGCTCCATCGATTAATTAGTTACCTCTCCCCGGAGAGAGAGCGAGGGTGGACCTACACGCGCGGTCTTCTCACCTAATTAGCTTATCCATGGGCTGTCTCTCAGGGACACCGTCGGCAGTGTGTCAGGGGCAGCAGTGCCCGGCAGGCGTGTCCGCTGTCACGCTTTCGCCGCGCTCAGGTTTGGCCCGCCGTCGATCGAAGGGTTGCGAAGGCCTCGGAGCAATATCTTATTGCTCTTGCGGATCGTGCATTGTTCGCCAACGATCAATGAAAGGTCAAGAAGCCGATCAAGTAATTGATTGGGTGACTAATGGTCCGTCGTCAAACTCGCACCAAAAGGAGAAAGACGGGGGGGGGGGGGGGGGGGGGCAAAGAGAATAAACGTCGTATGATCTCTTCGGTCAATGATCGGGCAATCGAGTGCTTGCGGGGACATGGGTTTCTCAGCAAGACGTTGAGGTATGGACATGTGTTTCAGTGGATGATGACAAAAATGGTGCGCCATGCGAGCTTCGCTTCGAGAAAGTACGGCGTGTATACTATTCGCGCGCCCTGTGTTTCTGTCGAGCCCCTAATTGAGCTCACGTGCTTTTGTTCTCCTTCTATGTCAACGCCCGCCTCTGGAACTTCTTTTTTGTTTTGTTTTTTTATAGGATGGTAAATTTTCTTGCGAAATGTCAGGCACTTTTTTATGCCAATGATCATATATTTTTTGTGTTTGTCTTTGTTTGTTTATGTGTGTGTGTATGTGCGTGCGCGTGTTTTTACTTTCAGAACTTTCTTCAATAACGTAGGACCTCGCGGCCGTTTTTGTCCTGTATTTACACGCTAAAAAAGACTAGCTTTTTTTTTATTTGTGTACTTATAATATATATATATATATATATATATATTTCTTTTTGTACAGTATGACATGGGTTCAGATAACAATAATTTTCTATTGCTCTCTATTCTACGCAAACAATTCTCAAAGATTACTGAACGGTTACATTTTACACCTTTCCAAATCCAAGATAATCACCGATGAAGCGCTCACTGATTTCACTGGGTCGTCGGGGCTCTCTCTCATAGAGTTACAACCCGCTGTACTGCTCCTTCCCCGGGCCGGTCCTCAACCCTTCCCCGATCACGCACGCAGGTCACGCTGCGGGCCCAGGCAACGGTGACCCACCAGCGCAACCCGTGGTACCTGGCCCGCTTCCGCGGCCGCAGCGCCCTCCTCTCCACGGCGCAGCTCCTGGCCTCCCTGGCCCTCCTCATGGCTCCCCACTTCGGCCTGCTCCTCTGGGAAGCAGCCACGGGACGTCGAGGTCCGGCCGCCATCGCGTCGGCCACCACGGCGCTGCTTTGCTGGACGCCCTGCGCCCACGCTTACGTGTACGGGGTACGGAGTCGGGCCCTGCGGCAGACCTTCAAGGACCTCTTGAGGAGGCACGTCTACCGACAGCAGGTGGGCCGCGAGGCGGCCAGGAGACTTTCCACGGCCAATGGTGGCTACCCCAATGGTCGCCCCAAGCTCATTCGACGGTTCTCGGCACCCGATGGCCTGGGCACCACCATCGGGTCCACGAACAAGAAGAGGGTCTTGCCTCGACGGGCCTCCGAGAAGTGCATGCTCGTGCGGGGTGCCGTGTGTCCGATGACGTCGCCGTCGTCGGCGCCGTCGTCCCGGAGGTCGCTCCTCGTTTTGGACAATGGGATGACGCCGGCCATGGCCTCGGCGAGGCCTACCAGCAGGGTGTCTGTGTTCCCGCTCATCCTCGAGAACGGACTCAGTGAGGAGGAGGAACTGGGACGACGCGGCGGCGGCGACGACGACTCGAGGTCGATGTCAAGGGCCACACCGGACTCGACGGCCACAAGGTGGGTGGACCAAGTGGCCGGAAGGCTAGCGGTGTTCTGGGCGAGCCCCAGGGCCGCATCCTGGGAGGCCCTCGAGAGGTCCGATTTGCACCACGTGTGATGAAGGGACGATGCCCGAGCGCCGTCGTGGGCGAGGATGTCTCCGTCTTGTGTTCGTGCATGGGCGTCGTGACGCTTTGGTGTTCCTCTTTGGTTCAAATTTTCTTTTTCGTTTTTTTGTGTTGTACATAATAAATTTATCGAAGGACTACGATCTTCTTTCGCTTAATCGTGTACCTAGTTCGACCCTCATACAATGGCGACTTGGATGCTACTTGGCTTGCTGTACCAACAACGTCTGGCTTTTGCGGCAGATGAGTGAGTTTTGCATCGAATCATTGAAACGCAGCGCAGTGGCGGAAGATGTCAGAAGGCCCTGTTTCAGCGTGTAAAGAGCTGGAGCACATGGAAAATATTTTTATCAACATCCCCGACTTATGCTTATGCTTATGTGCAGGGTGTCACAAAAAGAATAGATTTTTTGTTTTTTTTTTACCGCAAAAATAAATTAGGCATTGCCGAACGCTCATTCTCTGCCCAAAGGTAGCGCTTGAGGTCACAACCAGATGCCAGTTTCAGCCAGATCCGATTCCTTAATAAAAAGTTATGTGATTTTCTGAAAATGTCAATGGGAAAATAGCGGCCGACGGAGTTTTGGAATGCATGGGGCTCTATAGCACCACAAACCGAAAAGGTTCCAAAATGGGCTTCATTTTCCCATTCAAAATTTCAGAAAATCACTTATAACTTTTGAATAATGTATCAGATCGGGCTCAAACTTCGGCATCCGGTTGTGACCTCTTGCGCTAGCTTTGGACGGCGAATGAGCGCTCGGCGATGCCTAATTTATTTTTGCAGTAAAAAAAAAAACTGTATTTTTTTTTTGTTACATCCTGTATATTGATCGTCCTTTCTGGTAAAACCCTTCACTCGAGAGTCCCGACGACACTCAACTTCTTCCTTGAAAAAGGAGGGCACCGACTTCACTGCTACAATCCAGAAAAAGTGTCCGTGCTCGGAGAACGAATCACTGCACTCCACAGACTGACCTTGGCAAATGCCAAGAAAGAAAGTATGTTGATATTTTATTTTATCATGAGTAAAAGAACGCCCAGTCAAAGGCCAGTAGACTTGCAAACGTAGACACTCACGATAAATCGCTTGATTTGCTTCGCCATAGCACCAACACTCACAAAATGATGACGACAGGACGACCGCGGTGGCGTTGCCGCTTCAGCTTTGCTTTGTTGGCTCCATTGTCTAGTATACTCCGTCTCACTCCAAGTCGAACCGCAGCCTGCCGTTGGAGCGAATCAAGCAACGTTGAAATGTGCATCGTCATGGCACTTGTCGTGTTTGTGTGTGATGGATACATCACCGGTAAAACCAATCGCCCTCAACAGATGCTCCGTAATCCCGAGCTTTTATTTATTTTTTTTTCTGCATGAGGGTTCAGCCGGTGATATTAGCAAACGCACAAAGACGACGAGCTCGCCATGACTAGACACTTTTGGCGTTGGCTGATTGTATGCATCAGTATGTAGCGTCGGCATGCATTCCGACCAGAGGTGAAACGAAGTAGGGAACTTTTCCGTCCAGCTTCATACCTGCGGTCACGTAGTTCACGTGTCCGGCACGGTGGCAAAAAGAACAAAACAAAACAAAAAAGCAATGCGTTCCAACTTAGTACAAGTACAACAAAAATATAGAAGTAGCAAAACAAGAATGAGTGACAGTCGCGATTAAAAACGTGACCGCTGTGACGTGGTGAGAGAGAAACGATGATATCGTGCACACGTCGGAAGTTCCGCGATTCGAGGTGACGACAGCCGCGTGGAAAAGGGTCTGCAGAACCGAAAACAAGTCTGCGATGTGACATTGAGCAAGATGCTTCGAATGCTCGTCAGTGTACCATCGCGGAGTGAATTTTCGAAGATAAAGATACGATCGACCTTGACATTCAACGGGTTACTTTCGTATGTTGCGTTGATTGGCCTTCCGAGTTCTCTGCTGGAAAGTAGGCGCTCGAGCATTTTGTATACTTTATTTCACTTTGAGTTCGACCGCAGCTAACACTCCGACCCGATTGAGTCAATCAAAGAGCGGCCGAAGTGCGTTGTCCTGCACTTTGGCGGGGCAAAGTGTGTCGCCCTTTTTGGGTATACGCTAACACTAGCTAAACCAATCGCACACACACACAAAAAAAAGCTGATTAAAAATATTCTTAGAAATCAAATACATTCTGCGTTCATGCAAAATGAAACATAACTAAAGCGTAACCTGGACGTAACGAAACTTCGAAATTAGGGGGGGGGGGGGGGGGGGGGGGGGGGATGCCTACCGCCATACCCTAATCTCAAATAAAAAAAGAATGAACGTGTTTTTTTTTTTTTTGTCGTTTCTTAATACCAAATTTTTCAAATAGTCAGAAAGACAAAAAGGAGCAACACCACAAGATATACTAGACATGCGGAGTCGCCATAGCATGTGCGGCCTACAAAACCGTAAATTTCTGCGTGGACAAGAGCGAGGAGTAACGCTGTCCCTCGTAAGTACATTTTCTAGCACCGCGCGCGCTATAATGCATAGTAGCCTAGATTATCCGAATCTAGATTGTTATCTGACAACGTGTCCTCGCTTAGCGATAACGCCGAATATTCGTAAATAACGTCGACAACGGGACCGAGTGGTTAGATCGTTCGTATGCGTATATCCACGGCTACCGAGTAGAGTGCGGCGGAATGCCAGCGTGCAGGTTGGTTGGTGCAGCCGGCAAGTATCGTTCAAGTGCGCAGCGGGACTTTAATGCGCCGAAAGAAGGAGAAGGATGTCATTCTAAGAATTAACGGATGTTCACTGTCATATATTGAAACGAAAGACATTTAGAAATATGCTACGCGATACCTTAACCAATCTCTATAGTGTACGGTCACCGACGGCGTAAGAAATGCAGGAAGTGACGTGGCATGAAAACACATCGTGACTCGTTCTTCGGCGTTCTCATTGGCTAATGCTGCAGCCTGATTGGCTACGGTGCGACAATGAGATGTTCGACACGATACATATTATATTTCTTTCTATGCGAAGAGCAAGTCGTCTGCTTCTTGTGCAGGAGTTGCGGGGACGTCGGAACGACGCCAAGCTCTAATTGGCTTTGACTGAAAGGATAGTGGGTAGACCTAAATGCCAAATGCGTCAAGGTCTACGCACTATTTTATTTTTTTCAACCAGACAATGCGGAGGGCAAGTTCGTCTTCTGAGGGTAAGTTCGTCTGCTTGTTGCGCAGGGGGTACCGGTGACGTGAGAACGGCGAGCCCTGATTGGCTGGTCGCCACCCCCTATCTGAGCGTCGTCTGGTCCTTTGCAACGTCGTCTGCTCGCAACGTCGTCTGCTCGCAACGTCGTCTGCGTCTGTCTCAGCTTTCCTGCGACTTTCGGAAGAGCAGAGGCCAGATTCACGAAGCGATCTGACGCCAAAAATGTGCGTAAGACAAAACGTAAGAACAAATTCGTATTCACGGAACGAAATTATCGTAAGTTTCGCGCAGGGTACGGCGCAATCCTATGACAGCTCCGAAGCTGTCTACTTCTTACGATCAAATCAGCAAGGCCGACAGCGTCACTCAGTTACTTGGTCGCGACGACCAACGGACGTTTATTTTTGTGCGTGCTCTTCTCACGCGTCCCGACTACCAGCAGCAAGAAAAAAAAAAGTAAAACGTACTTGAAATAAACCACGACGAACAAGAACGCTGGATCCACAAACACCCGGGAAATGCTCCAACGGCCACGATTCCACTGACCCCGACCAAGTGAGCTCGGCAGATAGGCCTAGCAGGCACTGCGACTCGGCGCAGCGGTGCTCCAACGGTCCTTGGCCAAGACTGTCTGCCCACGACCGGCGGGCGTGCTGAATGGAATATGCCCGTATTACTGACCTCAATTTTAGATTAAGAGGTCAATCTCTTCCTCTTGTCATCTCCTTGTTTTCCGAGGCAGCGGTAACTCTCGCCGGTGAAAAAGCGGTGAATCTCCGACAGACGCAGTAAAGGTAAAGCAGCCATCGTTTGAATAGCAGACGTAAAGCAGACGACGTTAAAGGCTGACGAACAACCTCTGTTTTCTGCAAGGGAGATAATCTCGTTAGCGCTCCTTCTCTCCTCAGCTGCGAAGGGAGCCAAGTTGGGGCAAGGTAAAAAGTGGAGAGGATAAACGAAAGAAGAAGGCGGGCAAAAGTGGAAAGCGCGAAGTGTACGTCGCCCTTTAACTGCGCCAACCTGCCGACGGCGTTAAAGAGTGAGGAGTCTCGCCGCCATAGGTCGGCATTTTAAGCTGTCCTCACTCAAACTCACGATCACTATTTTTTCCTTAATCAGAACTCACGCCCACTCACGATCACGATTTATTCAAAATAGGATCATCACCCGGACTCACCCTCACGGCTCAACGCAAAACCAAAACTCACTCGCCGTCATCATCACGGTCGTCACACTCACAGATCATCACGGTCATCACGCTCACAGGTCATCACGAATCATCAGACTCACAGGTCATCACACTCACAGTTCCCCACGGTCCTCACACTCACAGGTCATCACACTCACAGATCCTCACGGTCCTCATACTCACAGGTCATCACGGTTCTCACGGCACTCACACTCTCAGCTCCTCACGGTCCTCACTGTTACAGGTTATCATGCTCATCACACTCACAGGTCCTCACACTCACAGCTCCTCACGGTCCTCACACTCGCAGGTCCTTGCGGTCCTCACACTCACACAGGTCCTCACGGTCCTCACACAGGTCTTCACGCTCATCACACTCACAGGTCCTCACACTCACAGGTCATCACGCTTGCCGGTTGCTTTCTTTGCGCTTTTCTTTTGTTTCTCTCAAGCCTTTGGTTTGTCTTCGCGTGAGTCGTGCGGCGGGGAACCTTCTGAGCCACTAATCCAATTTGAAAGAAATGTACTATGTTAATGTTTATGCTCCGCACATTTCTACCAAATTTCGTAAACCTGGATGAATTACGAAAGAAACTAAATGGAAGCTGACTAAAGTGGGTGTTTAACTTTCGCCTGCTGACAAGGGCGGCGTAAAAACACAAACGCGCCTTCCGACAGGTTACACAGACAACGTCGCAGTGATTAGAACATCGCCTCGCTGTGCATACCTCGCTCATTTGTACACAGATAAACAATTACTACATATA